ATCTGATAAATAATTTTAAAAAATGTGTTTCACCGGAAGAAAACCAGAGGTTTTCAGGATTTTTCAGAAATATCCGGATTTCCGGATATATATCCGGAAGACTTTCATTATTATATATTTCAACTGTTATTTTTTTCTACCCTAACACTAACTGTAGCAATGCATCATAAAATGAAAATTGAAAATATGAAACAAACTACCTTTTCTCTTTCTCCAATGACTGTAAAATTGTAACAGATAATTACGATAACTTATCCTAAACAGCCTCAGGCTCATAACAGTTTACATAAGTTTTCATTCATAACCTTCATAACAAACTTATAAATCACCTGGAAGGCATCTAGTTCAAGTTACAAGTTCATAGCTCAAATTATGGTAATCATAGTAATGAATTACTTAACTCCTGCATACCTTGCTGAGAAATATTTCTTTTTCATTTATATTTTCTTATTAAGTCTAACAAGTTTCAAATGTTTACACTTTAGTTTCTTTTATAACACCAAATAAAACATATACATAAAAAATAAGTACTTACCTGTGGTTGTACTTTTTGCAGTTAGTCTCGATAAAAGTTAGCCTTAATTTTTGGTAAGATTCTTTTAAGCACTTTACTGAATTTTTATTTATTTCAAATTTTCAATTTCAAACACAAAATAATAACATGCTCACAAAAAATACAATGTCCAATAACAATAATAATTTAACTGGCTTTCTATCTAATCTATCTATTAGTGTTGAAATAATTGCCGTACTTGGTCAATCCAAACTCGGCAATAGAAACTTTGAATTTGTAGGCCAAATAATTCAAAAGTTGTCATCAAAACAAGCTAGTCTTGCATGTAAATCAGTAAAGTAAAACCTTCTCTTTTTATTGGTTATAAACACTGTAATAGTAAATATCAGGGAGAATTACTAACACTTTTTTGAAAGGCAGCAGGTGATAGGAGGGCATGGTAAATGGGCTTGACTTTCTAGTTTATATCTCAGTAGAATTAGAAATGTGGCATTGGATGCTATAAAATTAGACTGTGTCACAGCAGTATCTCTAAGGTTGTAATTTGTATTAAAAATCAGATGCTTAGGTAGGGATGGAAAGCATTTATATATTGAAAAATTAAGAGCAAAGAAGTGTCACGTGATACACAGAAGTGAAGATTAAGAATTTATTTAAATATTTTCCTTTGAAATTAAGATATCAAAAATTTATATAACATTAAAACTTGATTTATTAACTCTGTTCTGATGCCATATTTATTTATATATGCCAATAACAGTTGTTTACATTTTGAATGTAACTATTTAGGGTGCATGAAGGGTTAAAAGATGATACAAATTACTCAATGTGAGTTAAACTGAATTCTATCATTGACTTCTTTATTTAAATTTGCAATAAAAAACTCTTATCCTTTTCTATTGGTTATTATTTCATTATACACCTGATAAAAATTTCCTTTTGAAAATGTCTTAACCAAGAGCTTTCTAGGATAATCCACAAATTTCAGCCAAAATGTCCAAGCAAACCAACCAATTACATAATATTTCAATCAATCAATCATCACCAAGCTTAAAATGTAGTTAACTCCAGAACTTTGTCACATGTATGGAATAACTTAACTTCCAACAGCAGAGTAAAAAACAAGTATTTAGTAACCTATGCTAAAAAAATTTATCTAGCCTAATTCTGTTACAAAACTTTGAAGTAGAAAGCACAGTACCAGTTACTAGACAGAGGCAACTGTTTTAATACTATTTATATTTACATTCATGAAACTAAGTTAAGCTGTGTTTTGCACATTATTAAGCAACAGTAGCATCATATCATTATTTTAGCCAACCTATATTCTAAAGCAGGAGTCAGCAATGTGTGTCTCACAAGCCACATTTGGCTCTTTATAAGTATTCTAACCAAAAAATAAAAAATTTAAATTCTCATTTTTCAGAATAAAATAAATTAAGGATTCAATCAGGCATGCAGAATGTTGCTTTATTTTCTGTAACATATATTATTTCTTTAAATATAAGAAACACAATACAGTTGCACCTCGCAACTGCTTCCATTTACATTCAGATTCCAAAGCCTTTACTGCTAACACAATAATCATCAACCAATTAGAATTTAACTATGAAATATAAGTGGATGTGCCGAGGCCTCATTCAGCTGTTAGAAGTGGAACATAATGTTAGGCTGTCAGTTAGGGCATGTTGCGGCTCTCGAAAGTTAATATTTTCCTAAATTGAAAATGTATTTCCAACTGACACTATAGCTATTTTGCTGACACTATAGCTATTTCTCGATCTCCAGGGTTTCCACTCTTTGCCAATCGAAGCATTGAAAATGTTTGATTCCGTCTTTACATACCCTGCTCATGCACTTAGCAAATTCTAATTTGCAAAAATCTCCACCAACTTCAATGTGGCCTCTATCTAGGTACTGTATATATAAGCACCTCATTCAGATAATGTAATCACTTTTTCAAGACATATATAAATAAATATATATACATAAACCAGAATTTAGTGGGGAGTTAGGGCATCAGCAGAGGTTAGTATTATTGGAAATACATTTTCAGTTTAGGAAAATGTTATCTTTCAAAACATACTTACCACACTGATGATATAGCTAAAATCCCACACTGAGAAGGTGGAGGGGCTTGTGCAGGCATGAACCATACAGAAAGCATCTGTATAGAACAAGAGTGTACCAAGATAAAGATGGTACGAAAGTGTGGGAACCGCACTATATCCAGAACAGGTGTACTCTTCACCTGGAACTCAGTTCCTATATCAGAGGTGGAATAGAATATGAGTAATTGTCAGTATAGGCCAGCCCCAACCAGATAGCTGAGGTTCCACAACTTGGGGTTGGAATTTAGGGGTCGTGGTACCTATATCCCATATTGGTGGCTTGGGCTATTGGACCACAATATTGTATATATATACATATATACTTTTGATTGGGTCCCAACCTGTAGCCATAGAGTGATGAATTTCACACCACCAGAATCACGACGAGAAAGTAAGCAACACCGAAGTGGATAAACTTCTCCTCCACATGAAGAAGTCCAAAAGGCAACATCCTAGGCTCAGAACGATGGTATTGTGTATGCCGTACTCAACCAAAGGAACAGAACTCATCCAGTCTGGAATTATGAACATTCATCCTCACTACACAACCAAGTAGGCAAGGAGTATTCTGCTTGCTCTGGAATTACGGAGAGGATGTGGAATCTGTGCTCAACAAAGAACCTAGGATGGAACCAATTCCTGTTCAGAATTATGAGGAGATAGCAGACCTCCTTCCATGAACAATATACAAAACCAACATTGATCAAAGAGTCAAAAACGAACAAAAATAATGAGTAGGCTCCCACGTAGGTTGGTGCCACTCTTGCCGACATCTGGAAAAAACATCCAGGGACCCACATAGAAGGGCCCCCCATCTTCGCCCTCTTCTCCAAGAGTGAAGGAACACTCTAGAGGAAAAGCCTCTGTCTGCCATCCCAGAGACTTTAAACTGGAGGTGATAAGGACTCCTGAGCTCTGGGGAGGTAATACACATTGGAGAGTTCAGAGGAACAGTGCCCTAGAAACTGTGCAATAGGTGAACCAAGTTCCCTACATTTTTAAAAGAAAACAGATCCCAATTTATTCAACCTGAGGATCGGCAGGGACTGGCAGGATCCCCTTTAGCTTTACTCATGATATTCCATGAGAGGCAGTCCATAATAATAAGGTAATACCATCCAGTAGGCTCCTAGATGGTCTTATGGAACACCCCATTTCAACAGAGCCTGTTGCATCCTGTAGTAATAATAGTGAAAGTGGTTGCTAGTGCAGAATTGAAGAGAGTAAGCATACCTATCTGGGAAACACTCGCTACAGAGTGGGAACCAGTGAAAAATAAAGGGACCCTGAAAATAAAAGAGTATATGATTGAGGAAAATACTCATCTCTGGTTAAAATTTAACACATGTGGTCAAAATAGCTACAGGGGATAATCGAAAACCCTCAGAAGAGGAAACTGCCAGATCATGTAAGTAATGAGATAGAAAAGTATTAGGAGTAGTTCACATACCAGCCCGCACAATGTTTTCCAGAGGGCAATTCAATCAGGTGGCTAATGACATAGAGATAAGACGAATCTGGAGAGATGTGACACGCATAAGATTCCTCTCCTGTAACAATAATCCATTATAGGCCATGTGAATCAATTTATGAAGTCACCTCGTTAGGGTAATGGGAAATAAATCACAGGAAATAGAAGGATTCCAATGATTGAACAATCGATTCCTACTACCCAAAAATAAGTTAGTATGAGCCACATAAATAATATATAATGAAACGTAAGAGAGAACTCTCAAACCAATTGTGAAAGGGAGGATGTGACAGATGGGTGTGGCAGGAGGGGTCTGATTTTCTCTTTGATAGCTCTGTAACAAAACAAAATTGAAGGCCTAAAAATTATGGTCTGTTTAAGCAATAACGATTTTATAGAGAGCATTTCACTTTTAATTTCATACATTTTCGAGGGGTGATGGATTAAATAGGAATGATGACATGCTAAGAAAAAATTTGTCATCTGTGTTACACAAGTGGAAATTCAGGATTTTTTTATATATTTCCTTTTAGAATTAAGAACTAAAAAATTGTATACTATTAAAATATGAATTATTAGCTAATATTTTATGCTATTCTAATTGGTATAACATAAACTAAAATAGTTTAATAAAATTTTTAATGTAAGACACTATAACCTTGTGTCATGCGCAGTAAAAGATACCCGTGCTGATAGAGTTAAATGCATTAATAATAAAATTGGAATAGAGATGTCATTATCAGATTTGACTACACTGCATCTTAGAAAGGTACATACATAAATCGTAGGTTCCACTTATAGTACTATAATCTATACAAACTCCCACAGAGAAAACTAATACACTAAACTAAGAATCAGCATTATATATATACAACATTTTGTCACAGAATCAAATTTTTCCTACTTCTGATTCAGCAGGTGGTAGAGAACATCCATATATCTTAACACCTGGATTTTGTTGCTTCTGTCTCTTCTTTACTCTTGGCCCAATTCCTTGGCCAGGTCTCCAACCCATTTTTCTCAAAAGATGAACACCTATAGATTCACTAAAAAAAAAATTACTAAATAAATATGAATATGAATTTTACAGTTTTGAAATGTATTATTGAATCAGGCAAACAGCTGCATTTCATTATAAACTAAACTTTAGTACAATGACTTCTAAGTTTTGTTGTTGATTTAACGTTTTCCATACGGGTCTTGGATGAAAGGCCATGTCATCACGTTCGTTGACTCGCATTCAAAATTATATTGAACCACTATTTCATTAATTTACACCAATAAGGTTGATATCAAACTATAGATTATAATTAAAATTTTAGTATTATAGATTACTCAATTTCTTAACTTAAAAGTAAATATTAAAAAAACACAGTTAAACATCACTTTTTGTGTTCTCACGTGGTATGTTGAATGCAGCACTTGTTCAAAATAGATGTTTGTGATGACAAAATACTAAGTCTATAGATTCGTATGAATTAGGAACTCAAATTACCGATACTGACAAACTAGAATATAATATAAGAACCTCTTATCTTTTCTATTTGCAAAGATATTGCTCATGTAATAAATCAAACACAGTGGCACCCCTCCCACCTCTTTCCAATTTTGGAAATGTTCCCTTATACACACTTCTATATATGACATGAATAACCAATCGAAAGCTCAGAATGTCTCCTAGTGGCTTTCTCAGCCATTTTAACATTTTTGGTGACATTATCTTTCTTTCAAACCAAGATTTCAAGGAGGTAGGTTGTATCTTTAGTCTGCTCAAAATTTCATATTTTTTTAGACTGAAATACAGCTTAGTTACTAAGCTTGATAAATTATAGTGGAATACTGTTGTATTGATATAGTAATTTTTGATTTTTTGGTTATTCAACTGTATATATAAATCCTAAAAAAATTATTTTGTTGCATATCCTCCTCGTGCAAAACCCTAAAAAGCTTAGCAACCTATGTCAAGCAGCAACTGAGTACAAAGGTCGTAACTAGAAGAGATAATATTTTGCTTTATTTCTTTAATTAGTGTTCTATGTTTTAAGAAAAATAAGTGTAAGAACTTATTTCTAAATAGCAATAATCTGTATTTATTTCCTAATTTTTATGGTTGTTATGGGATTGGTCAAATCTAACAAACCCGTACAGAGATTCGTTAGTGAAAATAACATACAAAATATAAAGTTTTTCTTAAGAAACATTTGATAACTATCTGGACATCATAAAAATTTCGCCTGTGAAATTTGGGAATTTTCTGATGCATAAAAGTATTTTTAATCTTAAAATGAAAATTACTTTACATGATGAATAGGCAACATGCAAAAATAGAAAAAAAACATCAGAAAAACATTGCTTTACAAACCTTAAGACTTAATAAAAAAAAATTTAATATTTTGTGTATGAAAGCATTGTAATGTTTACTGATAATCTGCCAAATTTTGTTAACACACACTTACTAATTTAAAAGTTACAGCTTGAAAACTATAACAAGCACAAAATGGTTACGAGGTAGGACCGAGCCCGAGCTGAAAGAGTTAATAATTTGACATTTAAAACCAGTTTTTTCCTGCAATATGACTAAAAATTATAAAAAATCAAGAAAACTTTTACTAGTTGGACAGTAACAGTACAACTGAGAAAAAGATAATAAAAAAGATTAGATAAAATAACAGAAAAAAAAACGTACAATAAATTATTATTATTATTGATTTGTAATAGTTCTTTACACTAAACAATGTGGTTATTATTATTAGTTTGTGTTTTAAGGATTGTTAAGGCACAGGTTCTACAACATGGGCATCAATTGGAAACTAGAAATATGAAGTTAAAATATCAAAACAAAAACTTAATGACATACTTTACAGGGAGTATCAAATCTTTCAGTGGTGGATCCCCAGGTATTGGTCCTTCTGTTGACACAGGGAAAGTCTGTTTTCTTTCCTGGTTAACATAAGGTACTCCAAAATTCTGAGTTGTTTGAATATGTTTAGGTGCTATTCCATACTTTCCTAAATCCTATATAAAACAACACATTTGTAAATATAAAATTTTTTCATTGCAGTGTTAAGAAAAACTAGTATAGTTACTATAAAATTCTGATATGTAAGGCTATGACTAAGAACTATTAGAATCTATCTTAATTATTGTGTAAAATACAAATAAAAATTTAACTACTGGACTACAGTAAAATGAGATTTTCCTGCCAAAATCAATTATTAAAAAAAATTCAAATTACTAGAAATGGAGATTTGTAATTAACCCTATTGTCACAGGTATCCTTTACTGCGTTTTAGTGTCTTACATTCAAATTTTATTAAACTACTTTTTTTTTAGGTTATACCAATTATAATAGCAAAATCTTAGCTAATAATCCATATTTTAATAGTATAAAAGTAAGTTTTAAGTTTTTAATTCTACAAGGCAATATAAAAAAAGAATCTGAATTTCCACTAGTGTGACCCACGTGACATTTTCCTTTAACATGTCATTATCCCTATTTTATCCAACACCCATCAACAAAGTACAAAATTAAATGTAAATTACTCTCTATAAACTCGTTATTGCTCAGACAAACCACAATTTTTATAGTCTTCAATTTTGTTTGGTTACAGAGCTATTGAATAGAAAATCAGACCCCTCCCACTACACCCACCTGTCACATCCTCTCTTTCAGAATTTGTTGATAGTTCTCTATTACATTTCATTATATATTGCCTGTAACCAATAGAAACCCAAGGTTTACATCTATCAAATGATGTATGTTTAACATTACATTCTGAACAGTTAGATGTAAATTTCACTCAGAGCACCAACATCATTCCTGTGGGAAAGTTAACGACTAGCTTGGATGAATTTGTAACAGCTCTTGTCACATTAGTTAGAAAGCCAGAAAAATTTTGAGAGATAAGGGAATTTGTCTACTTTTTGCATGTTATAGTCTATATTGTTTGGTGCATTATTTAATCAAATAAATATTATTAAGTGCATTACTATCATTAGTTTAAAAAGTAGGGTTAACTCTCTTCGGAAACCTGACAGCAAGAAAAAAAAAGATTGGCTAAGTATTTTATTTCTTGTCTTTATGTTTATTCTTTATATATAATTACAAATGTAACTAAAATGTAAAAATAGGGATCCTTTTAGATCAGGTAAAATAAATAATAGTAATATTATAATAAAAATGTTTCATGAGGTACACATGCGAGCAGCTTGTGGGTAATGTAATTCGTTAGCGTCACATGAGCTGCACATTCAGAGTGATTTACAACTTATAATGGTGCAAATACTAGTTAAACACGGTTCAAAGGACAATAAAACAATAAAATTTAATTATAAATAAAAGT